TCCCCATTTTGAGCAGACGAGTTTCCAAGGAAGCTCGGTGCTGAGGAAACTGGTCGAGGGGCCAAATCTTGGGAGGTGCCGCCTGAGTGTACCAGTAATTTACGGCGCGTGTGGTGGAACGCAAGACTCGAAAACTGGCGTTCTGTTGGTACGGTCCGTACCACGTTGTCGGCCAAGTTAGGGAGAATGCCTACAAGTTAGCAATCCAAAGTCACACGAATAAAGTGGTCTCGGTAAACGCAAACTGACTGAAACATTTCCGTGGGAAGTGGAGTCGTCCGTACGGAGATGACATGCCTGAAGGCGTGCAGAATAACGCTTCAGACGGCGGACTGGGTCCTTTGAACGAAGAAGACTTACCGTCGACAAGTTTCGTGGAATAGCTTTATACGGTGGTGAAGAGACTGCGTTCTCTGTAGTAAACTGCCCTATCGTGGGCAAAACGGATTGAAAACTGATTTACATCGTGATTATTGACCAAAGTCAATTAAGGCTCTTCAGTCTTAGGACTGCTCCAGGTGGACTTGGGCTGGGCGGGAGACATAATGTCACGACGGATGCGTACCAAAGCCTCGATTGTGAGACGGTACTTCCCTCGGCCCTCGGATTAAGCGCATCGGTCGTTTACAAGAAGGAACGCATGGTTGCGTATCCATAAGCGTCCACGACCATCGGAGCCAGAGCGGTCTTGATGGGGGGATTGGTAGTGAGGCTTGCCCTTGCGAGCCAGAGATGCCAGATCCTCAACTTGCGGCCCTGGGTTTGTGGCCGTCATTAGCGGCTCGATCAGGTTGGCCTCCGAGCCAATACATGTCGGGACACGTGTCCAACTACTCCATGAATCCCTAGCAGCCCCACGTCTGAATGCAGAAACTAGTGAATGCGGGACGCGCCACTGTCGCGCGGAATTTGGCCTTTGCGACGACTTGCGGCGTTCTCGAGTGGTGCATGGAACCCCCAGTTCCAGAACGCTTTACGACTGGACATCCAGAAACGCCAGGAAGCACGGTGGACGAACCGAAATGCAACTGGGTCGTCCGAAAGACGACTGCCTGTCCAAGGGTGCGCTAGACGTCAGGGATTCTTGCCGGCGGCTGCGGCCTTCGCCAAGACCGTTTTGATGGTGTCACGAACGTGCGTGGGAGCCTTCTTCTTGACCTCGAACAACTCGGTGGCTACTTGTGATGAGTGAACGCTGGAGAACTCCGCTTTGAGGGTCTTCTTCTGCTTGCCGGACAATTGTTGCTTCTTTGGAGGCTTTTGGATCACCGAGGTTCCGCTGCTAGTCTTGCGCTTGGAAAATAGAAGCGCCTTCGTCCTTGGGGGCTTTGTTGGATCCGCGGTCGAAACGAAAGGAGGAACGGGGAGGGCCAATACTGTGCTCTAGAGAATGACGCCGAGATTCTTGTCCATGACCGCCTCCACAAGCTCGTCAAGGTGTTCGAATCCAGATGACTGGAGGTTCCCGCTGAGACGGCGACGCACTTCGGTTCAGAACTGCTTCTGTATGGCTTGGGCTTCAGCACCAGGCATTCCATTCTCTTTCCGGTCTAGCGCATTCTCCATGAACCGGCGGAAGCGTTTCAGCTCGGCTGCTGTTAGCCATGAAGACATCGTGTGTGGCTGGAGAGGAGCGTGTTTGGAGTGAAGCTCGGAAATAAAAGTTGGGGAGCGTCTCCCGTTTTAGTAGCTGTGGAAATTTGATACGTATTTTGTCCAATCAGAAGAATCCGGCGTTCCGGCGTAAAACGCATCGGATGTCCCCAAGGACGAAGTACCGACGACAGCTGGGATATGGGACTAACCTGCGACAATTAGTAGTGCCTGTAGGAGCGTCTGGCAATCATTCGTGAATTTCTCGGTAGGAGACAAGTTGGATCATGTGGGTGGCCTTGAAGGCACTATGGCTAGAGCTTGTTGAGGCGGAACGTCTCTCGGATAACCCGTGCTGCGTTGGGAGGGGTCCTGTGGGTTAACACGACCCCGCTGATGAACGCCTCATTGGCGTTCCTCGCGAGTATGAATGAGGGTGTTCAAGTGGCCTATTTCTTTTGGTTTACCTGTGGGGACCGATACCTAAGGGCCGTGCGAAATGCTGAAGCGCTAGCGTTACCGCCCGCTGAGTATGCATGTTGGCTGGCGACATT